CCACAAAATCCCTGAACAGATTCCCCCCTTCAGTATTTCGTCATCAAATAAACTGATGAGCTTTAACAATATCCCCAACAAAAATAGACTCACATAGTGGCATTGTAGACCCATTTCACTTACATTTCAATTCCAAAACGCGCCAACCATAAAGACACATCCGGAGTAAGATAAAAGAAGCAGATAAGACTCTGCCTTTGCATAAATAAAGTATGATTTGTCTTCACTTTTACTTTGAATAATAAAAGCAACAGGCGTCCGTTAAAAAAAATCTGTACAGCCAATAGTGTAAGATGTGAGAATGAACTGCGGAGAATCTTTTTCTCCTAGTACAGCAGTATTTCAGACAGCCTCGTGGTCAACATTAAAAATCCTTGGTTATCACAAGCTGCTTATATCCCGGTTTCCAGAAAATTCCTTATACCCAGGGGCTTGCGATTCTGTGAAAAAGAAAGAAAGAAAAAGTGTAAAGTAGACTTTTTAACAAAGGTATTTTTATAATTTCAAATTCACATATTACCAAGCTGCTAACTTTAGTTTTAGTAAGTTTTACGGCACTTGCAACACACTTACACAATAAGGTCATAAAAGTGTCGAAGATTAGAGGTGTTACAAGAGAGTAACAAACACAAAAAAGAAGGAGGGGAGATAAAGACGATAGATGTTTGATAGGAAAGAAGAAGCAAATTACACCAGAACACCCGCCAACCACCCACAGAAATCCGTTAACACAAAACAGAATTAACTAGGACGGGTGAGTACAAACAACAGTAACAGCAGCGTACACTGTAAATAAAAACCTGAACAGAAAACAGCCCTCTATGTAAGGTAATGTAACATGATATGGTCAAAGCAGAAACAATTTGTCATCTGAGATAAAATTTAGTTGCATCAAACATTTTTTGTAGCTTTAAATCAAGTCCTGCAAATTTTCAAAATAGGTCGCACATAATTTAATCAGACAAGACAACACTGTGGTCTTTTTCTTTAGTAAAATAATAAAAAAGAGGCCAGTAGCATAGAGGTGATGAAGACAAAGACCCGTTGTTAAAACACCATAACAGGTCCACAAAACCCCAAGAGAAACTGCTAAATAGTGCCCGTGAACACATGGATTAGTAGACAAAATATGGCAAAAATCTCAATAGAAATACCCCGGAGCTCAATACACATGTAACGTGTTTAGTTGTAGTAGGGTTTTTAGGGCGCTTGCAACCGCATAAGGTCATATGAGCGCCAAGGGGTGGATGTCAACAGAGAAGTCTAAACGGGGAATCAGGCTTACCCTGCTCACCTCTCTAGCCTCAACAGCACAAAGTCTGCTTCGACTATCAAAACACCCCGGAAATAGCGGGTCACAAGAGAGTGACAAGCATACAAGAGAAGTAGAGGAAAAATGATGATAGTAAGGATGAGGAAAGAAAAAGCAGCAGTTCCCCCTATGTTGTTTCGGCACAGTATGAGCATGACATTGATAAATCAGCCCGTTTACAATTCCACTGTGCATAGAGACATGTTAATATCCCCCAATTAGGGAATCGCCTAAAGACACTTCAGTCCGGTCAGTGGCACTGCCCGGGGGGGGGGGGGGGGGAGAGAAGAACATGTATTAGTAGACAAAAGGGAAAACCCTCAATAGAAGTAGCACAGAGTTCAGTACACACGTACTGTGTTTTGCCAGTTTGGGAGTAGGACCAGGGAACAAGGTAGGAAGCAAAGTCTGAGATATTTTTTTAAAATATTGAAATACAAACTGGTTGGACACATTACAAAAGAACATAATATACATATGTACTATATTATACAATTATACTCTCTCGTATATATCGATAGGGCAGGTTCCAGACTCTTCGACTGTGGGAAAACGTGTGTCTTGGGGAGGGAAAAAACAACAAACAATCAAACCCAAAGGAATCTGACACGTGTTCCAAGGATATTTTAATTGTTATGGAGTTTCAGAGCTCTTCCTTGGTTGCAATTCTATGGAATGAATAAACGATGATCAGATATAATCAGAAACTTTTCTCAGACTAGAAAAGTTTAGTTTTAGTTTTATTTTAGTAGAGATTTTACGGCGCTCGCAACTGCATAAGGTCATATGAACGCCAGAAGATTAGGTGTTACAAGAGAGTAACAAACATAAAAAAGAAGGAGGGGGAGATAAGAACGATAGATGTTTGATAGGAAAGAAGGAGCAAACCACACCAGAGCACCCGCCAACCACCCAAGTTTTACTGCACTTGCAACACAAAAAGGTCCTAACACACAAACAAGTGCTGTACCAAAATTTAGAGGTGTTACAAACAAATAAAATGAGGGGGGGTAACAACGACAGACCCAACATCATTGACATTTATAAAACAAGCAAATCAGAACACAAACGGGGAGGGTGTGATGGTAACAACAAACTGTCTAAACAAAGGGTGGGGTGGGGTGGGGTGGGGGTGGGGGTGGGGAAGAGAACTATTCAAACATCAACAGCTTTCATTTTGTGCAATACTTAGAATCATCCCACCCCAGCCTTAGCACTTTGGCCTTGACTTTGATTATATGAGAGGCCATTTCTTCTAACGTGGAGAAGTTAGCTGTGTTGTAATCAAATATATCAGACTAGCTGTGTTGTAATCAAATATATCAGACTAACTGTGTTTTAATCAAATATATCAGACTAACTGTGTTTTAACCAACAAATATTTCAGACTTCAGACAAAGCTGTTGCCAATTCTAAACCAACAGGTAACACAACCGCAGTTGAATGGTGTGTAATAGTGTTGCCCTGTGCCTGGAGAAGATATAATTTTCTCAAATCTCAAGTTATCTCGAAGTACGTCTTTGCTTGATTTCCCCATCAAAATGACTTGCAACTGCCTGAACAAAGCACAAATCTCCAGGTTGTTGAGTTTGAAAATACAGTTGAAATTGTCTAGATGTAGATCTTTCCTACCATAAGATCAGGGGTGTGGCTGAAAGACAGCAGTAAGGAGGAGCCAAGGAGTAGCAGTAGAAAGGCTGCAGAAAGAGTCAGAAGCCCAGAGGAGGGGGCAAAGGAGGTGAGGGGGTGGGGGCAGAAAGTGGAGACGAAAGCAGACGATAGAACATTGCTAGAGAACAGGAAAGGAGGTGAAAGGAGACTATTTTAGAGAAGAAAATTTCTCCGTCGCTACCGGCCTAAGACAACCACTTTCCTCCCCAACAAAGAGTGGCCATCTTGGACAATTTCAAATGTATTCAAAATTAGGACACTGAGCAGGACTTATGCTCCACCTTCTCCTCAGGGAGAAAGTATTCATGTACATATAACATGGGTCTCAACTCAGTATTTTAAAAAAGGGGGGAACTTTACGTGTGATTGTGACAGAAGACCATTTTCGCGAGACACCCATTAAAAACCATCAATCTATCAAAGCAACGTTATTTCAAACCAATTTATTATTGGTTTGGAAGATAATTTCAAGTAAAAAAGTTACTTGTCAAATATTTAAAATCTTGATTATGTACAGAAAGTGGTGGCACATTACTGGGTAGCGGAGTTTAGCGGAAGAAATGGCGGTAGCGAAAACCCACTAAATAGCGGAATATTGAGACCCATGATATAATTATAAACAAATATTTAGGCTGCGTTTTTTGAAAAAATTGCGAAACTGTAGATTCAACATCCTTTCAATACTGTTAAGGTTATTGAAGAGTCGGGCATTGTTTAAGTTTAAGGGTTAGACACTGAACTAACAACAACGTGAACAGGTTAGCTGTGAGGACAAATTTCCAGAAATCCATTTTACCATGATGAATCAGTCAGCCCGTCACCGGACAGAGCCTACAATCAAAAGGGCACCAAAAAAATCCAGCAGGGTAATGCTCAAAACAGTGAAGCAAGGTCAGAGAGCATAAAGCAGACAGCTCAAACGACAGAAGAACTTCTTTGCCAAAACTTTCGTCCCAATTGTTTTAGTTTTAGTAAGTGTTTTAGGGCACTTGCAACACAATAAGGTCCATTGTGCCATCAAAACAGGGACTTGAATCAAAGTAAGAAAAGGTGTCAGAACGTTGAGGTAAAGCCCAAACCCACAGATTGCAGTTCTTACAGTAAAAATCTGATGAGCAGCAAGACAAGCTTGTTTGTTTTAGTAAGAGTTTTACGTCGCTCATAAGAGATAAGCTTGGTAGCTAGAAATTTATCGTATTATCAAAATAAATATTTCACTCGAACCCCCCCCCCCAATGTCCAAACAAAGTTTTCGCCCAGACAGCCAATCTTTTAAAAAGCAGAAAGGAATGTCTTCGACAAAAATGTTCAACTGTCCATTTGAGTTTGAAATGTGAACGTAGTATACTTGCGCTACGCAAATCTAAGCACATTCACAAGGCAGTTTGCTCATGCACACATGAAAGAAAGAAAGAAACAGAAAAGAAAACGTGGTTTTCAACTAATAACTAAATAAATGATACCAAGAAACCATCCCCAAGGCCACCAGTGACAGTAGGACAAAGACACCAGTGAACACGCTATGTACTAACATCAAGGATTACCTCTATAAAAGACGCCAGTGAAAGTAGGACAAAGACGCCAGTGAACACCCTATGTACTAACATCAAGGATTACCTCTATAAAAGACGCCAGTGAACACTCTATGTACTAACATCAAGGATTACCTCTAACGTAGATCCTGATGGGTGCAATAAAGACAGAAATGTGAGAAACATTCACCCAAAAATAGACATTAAAACATACAAAGAAAGTGTAGAAAAATAAATTAAGGAACCTCATATCTGAGCTAATCAATCTTAGCATGGCAAAGCCCTGGGTTGAGAAACAATATCCTAACGGGGCTCACAAATGCTAAAGCTACATACAGGACTTGGCCAAAATTGTTGTTCTTTTGGTACAAAGAACTTAAAAGAGACAAACCCACCAAAACTGCTTTGCAGTCATTATCTCAGCCTGCATCTCCACCCTAAAGAGCAGATAAGATTTGATCAAACTGAAATCCACGTGAACGCGATAAAACTCAACAAAATGAGAAAAAGAATTTTATTGTCCAAATTCATCAAGAACACATCATGTAAGAAATACTTGTGTACATGACACAAAAAGCACAAAAGACCCACGCACACCTATTTCCAAACAGAGTTTGGATACCAAACAAAAGAAAGTCATCTACAGCAAGCAAAATATCCTCTCATCATTTAGGATAAAGCAAATTAAAGTAACACTAGTCAGCAAACAGTTACTTCACTGCTTTCTTGTCGTATCTCCAATTTTTTAAACATTGAAAATGTGACATCTTCTTAAGCTCACTCTTTGTTATGAACTGTTTTCACTGTTTAAAAAAATGGAGATACGACATGAAAGAACTAAGCTCGCGGCACATAAAAACACATTCATCCTCTGTAACATCTGAGAAAGCCAGAGCTTTAAAAAGAACTTAAGTTTGTCCATACTCTCTCTCACACACATCACACAATCCAGAGCAAAAATGCAGACAGCATTAATTAAGAGACTTTTAAATAGAACTACCACGACCACCCACCCAGAAAACTCTCTCCACAGAGTCGACAAACATCAAAGCTACAACTCTAACCTCCGGACTCTCTCAGCGACTGGAGTGACTTTATTGTGACGGAAAAGTTTCCGAAAGGATTTCGCACTCTGGCTCGGCGTGACGGGGCCAGCGGTCGCCCAGCCTATGTTGGGGTTCGTCAGACGTAGAGGAGTCACTTGAGCAGGGTTCGAACCTTTGGAAGGGGTCATAACTGCAGACTCTTTTTGACCTTTCATCAAAGAAGCTTGTTTCTGTAACCATTGACTCTTCCTGGAGGGAGTTGTAAAGTCAGGAGTTGTAGGCAAGTCTTTGGAGGAGGAAGAAAACGGAACTGGAGAGTTCTGGAGCTGGGAGGGGGGCGGACTTCGACGTACTCTCTTGTGTGAATTCAACACCCCACGGGCGGTGCTCTTTGCTGTTACCGACTGATTGTTCCCCAACGTTTTCGCAAAGCTTTGATTAACTTTTGCCTCAGCATCACCATTAAGACGCCCTAAGTGTGAGGAGGGCGACTTTTGTGACAAGACTGAAGAAAGTTTGATAGTCTCTCTGATCTGGCTTTGTCTCGAAGTGCGGAAAGAGGACAACCTGCCTTCAAACATTTGCCTCAGTTTCTGAAAACCTTTTTTGTTCTTGGCTCCTGATTGGTCGACGTGGGCTTCCTGTCTGTCGCTGGCAGCACCCTTGCTTTGTGGGAAAGTTGGAGACAACTCTTTGTTGGGGTGCGACTGACTTGCTGGCGGAACAACTCGTGAGTAATGAGTTTCCTTTGTGAGAGATTTCTTCTTGAAGGGAAACGACAACTTCTTGGCTCTGGGCAACAACTTCCTTTTCTTGACAGGGTCAAGGGTGTGCTCAAAGCCATCAGTATCCATGAATTCTCTACCAAGTTCATCTGTGGTTTCCTCAACAAATCCTTTAGATCGGGTTTTTCTGGCAGCCTTTCTGTTCTGCTCGACGTCGGGTAAATATTCCTGAGTGGACAAGTATAAAGCAGCAGATGAGTTGGTCTCAGGTGAACTTTGCCTTCTGTCGTTGGACATAAATACATCATCATCATCACGGGCAATACCATCATCATCTGTACACAGGCACGGAGAGCTCACCTGCCTCTCGTGAGACTGTGTGTCTTTTCTCCCCCCAGCTTCCCCGGCACAGAGTGGTGAGTCTTCTAGGAGAGGCGACCGCCAGGACACAAATCTCTGGCTGGGTCCAGCCGGAGCACAAGAGTGGCCATTCTGTTCCTTCTCAACGTTGCCAAGATTTGATCTCGGTGGGACTAGAGAGGCTGTATCATCAGAACCAGAGGTGGCAGACTTGAGTCTTATGAGTGTCTCTGAAATGTCCACGGATCCGTGGGCCCTGAGACTCTGGATATTGGAGGGTTCCAAGAAACTTGTCTGAAGATCTAGAAGCTTCTGTAATGACATGTCAGATTTCTTCCTGACTTTCCTGTCGGCAGCTTCCTTCCCAAGCCATCTGGGAAAGCTGTGCTTGAACAGGCCTTTACGAGATGACTTCTTTCCCGTACCCGGCTTTCTGCTTTCACTTAAACTTATTCCAACATCGCATGAAGAACTAGCAGAATCTTCCCGCAGAGGAAGTACACTTTGCTCAAAAACATTCAGATTCAGATCCTTTAGTTTCTGTCTGAAATCCATCACAGTTTTCCCCACAGATATTTCTTCTTGGTGCAAATTTGAGTTATCCTCCGAGTTCTCTACCCCGTCGTGATCCATCACGGTGGCCGATTCTTTTCCGCTCCCTCCAGAACTCTGACCCCAGTCAGGCTCATTCCAATCCGACATCTGCCGCTTGAGTGAGCTCTTTTTTCTCAGAGACCGCCGGTCTTTGTTTGATTGCTCCGTACTTTTCCCCTCACGACCTAACGTATCGAGTCTCGTATACGGTTTAACAAGCCCCGAGGTCGCAAATTCTTTGTGCACGGTTTCAGACACGGCGCCTTGCCCTTGATCCTGAGGACATGAGTCTGCATCAAAATGATCCACAACGGCATTACTGTTGGAAGATCTCGCAATGACAGAATTATCAACGTCCATATCGACACAATTATCTATTCCAAGTCGATCCACGACAGAACCACTACATCTCTCTCCCACACATCTCCCCTGGCTAGTGCGGCGATCGGTGAGGGAGGAGGGTGTGAGGCAGGGAGCGTCGCCGGGACAACTAACCTGTGACTTCTTGGCCTCATGTGCCGCCTTGTTGCTGGCCGCGCTGTTCTTGTCTCCTCGACTGAAGAAGCCGCCTCTCTTCATCAGTCGCTTGTGGCTCTTGGCTTTGTCTGGGGTGAAGCCGATGCTGAAGGCCACTGACTCACGACGCTGGGAGAATTAACAAAAACAAATTATGTAATGAATAGTTTTAGTTTTAGTAGAAGTTTTACGGCACTTGCAACACAATAAGGTCATATAAGTGCCGAAGATTAGAGGTGTTACAAGAGAGTAACATAAAAAAGAAGAAAGGGAGAAAAGGTCTATAGATTTTTCATAGGAAAAAAGAAGCAAACCACACCAGTGCACCCGCCAACCATCTACCTATAGATGGAGTCATATCAATCAAAAAATAAAACACTGAGCTGTCAAAGTCAGACATAAGTAAGTTTTCCAAGACTAAAAGGCTAATAGCAATAGGCTAAAATAAAGGAGTTCACCTACAAACATAAAATGGGACTAAACTAAACAGTTGTACAAACAAACAAGGTGTGGAAGGGGGTGGGTGGGTTTTGTTTTGGTAAGGTTTTACCGCGCTTGAGGCTGCATACGGTCATATGAGCGCCAAGGGGTGGATGTCAGCAGAGAAGTCCAAACAGGGAATCAGGCTTACTCTGCTCACCTCTCTAGCCTCAACAGCACAAAGTCTGCTTCGACTATCAAGGCACCCCGGAAATAGCGGTTCACAAGAGTGAAAAACATACAAAAGAAGTAAAGGAAAAATGACGATAGTAAGGATGAGGAAAGAAAAAGCAGCAGTTCCCCCTATGTTGTTCCGGCACAGTATGAGCATGACATTGATAAATCAGCCCATTTACAATTCTACTGTGCATAAGAACATGTTAATTATATCCCCCCTTTGGGAATAGCCTAAAGATACTTCAGTCAGTAGCACTTCCCTTGGGGGCAAAACAAGGTGCAGAAGAGGGTTGGGTTGGTTGGGGGGTGTGGGGTGGGAGAGGAGCGAGAACAGACCACACACACAAATTGACACATTAGATGAACAAAGAGCTGGGACATCAGAAAACTCACATCATCTTCGGCGGCAGCAGACGACGCTGGGCTGAGCGGTTCGACAAACCGAGGGGACCTCCGTGGCGTCCTCTTCTTCTTGGGCGTGGACATTCCCTGTGGCGCCGTCTGCCCGGCGCCTTTCTGTCTGCTGGACACGGGCTTTGGGGAGACTGTTTGACTCGGGGTGAACCGGCCGGAGACTCGCCGGGGCTGTTTGCCGGGGGTCGGGGGTCCCGGTCGGTGGTAGGATGGGCCGTTGCGAGCCTGGGGGGGGGGGGGGGGGGGAAGAGAGAAACAGAGTCAGTTAGAAGGTTTTACGACGCTTGCAACAGTATAAGGTCATATGAACGTCAAGGGGTGGGTGTCAACAGAGAAGTCCAAACAGGGAATCAGATTTACTCTGCTCACTGAATCCAAGGCCAACGAATAGAACATTTGATACAGTAAGTGTATGGTAACTGCATAACGTCATAATATGAGCGCCAAGGGGTGGATGTCAACAGAGAAGCCTAAATGGGGAATCAGGCTTATTCTGCTCACCTCTCTAGCCTCAACAGCACAAAGTCTGCTTCGACTATCAAGGCACCCCGGAAATAGCTGATCACAAGAGAGTGACAAACATACAAAAAAAGTAGAGGGAAAAATGATAATAGTAAGGATGAGGAAAGAAATAACCTCTGATCCCTATTTCTCCATTAAAAAAAACCCAAGTACATAAATGCATGAATTTAGCATTTCAGATACTGTACACATGGCAGTGTCTTATTTTGAAGTGACCAAAGTATGAACAAACCAGCTTGTTAACAGCAAAATTAGGACTACATTGTAATTATCAAATTGGCTTCCTTTCCTTAAACTATAAAAAAAGAGCATTAGGATTTAAGTAGAACATTTTGTCCACCTACAAACATAAAATGGGACTAAAAAGTTGTACAAACCTACAAGGTGCAGAGGAGGTTTGGGTGTGTACAGGGTACTGTGTCTATAAGCACAGAAAGCTTAAAGAAAATAAATTACACATACATTTCCACGGTAACGGCTTTAAATGATACATCGAAACAAAGCAGAGAAATATAGTAAATTTGACAACAAAAAGCTATTCAAAGTTGCTCTATAGTATAAAAAGCTACAATGTATCACGGCAATGGCACACTTCCTGAGAGGGAGGCATCTAGTTTGTCGTAGACTTTGGAAATTGGAATTCCCGTACAAAATATTACAAAAAGTGAAGGAAAAAAAAAAGGCCCATCAAAAACCTTTCAGTGCTATCCTGAAATACTGAAATCACCACAGAAATATGTGTAAAATCAAGTCCTTACATAAAGCCATTTTTACAAATTTTTGTCACTGCGCAAATAAAAATGTTTAAAAAAAGTTTTAATAAGGTTTAACGGTGCTCGCAACGGCATAAGGTCTTATGAGCGCCAAGGGGTGGATGTCAACAGAGAAGTCCAAATGGGGAATCAGGCTTACTCTGCTCACCTCTCTAGCCTCTACAGAACAAAGTCTGCGTCGACTATCAAGGCACCCCGGAAATAGCAGTTCACAAGGGAGTGATCCATTTTCAAAAACATTTGTCACTGCGCAAATGAATAAGTGAAACAGCTCAAGCTTCCATTACACAGAAGAATGAGTAGAGCTGTGCACATGAGAAATAAGACCAAAGAGGTCAATACCAACAAAGCCACTGAGACTCATTTTTTCAGTTAAAGGCTGTGGCCTACAAATATTCCAACAAACAACATCCCCATAAGTGTCGCGACACGGTGGAATCAGGTGCTCCTCAATCTTTGGTCATGTGAAGGTATTAATATCCTCTGAAAGCTGATTTATTTGCCTTGCTTCCAACGAAATAAATATCTATCTATCTTGAAAAGAAGTCAAGATAATTGCAATTGAAGGAGGTGAGTTCACCTGGTTTCAGTGGTGAAATTAGTGAGAAAATGGTTGCCAAAGTTTAGGTAACTCCAATAGCTTAAGAGGCCTTGAAAACTGAAAAATGGCATATTTTGAGTCTTTAATCAATGTTTTTCAATAAAATTTACATAAAAAGGGTTGAGGCAAAAATAAAAATTCGATAAAAATTTTGAAACTTTCGGAAAATGCATGTTTTTCCAATTTCTGTATTTTGACGAGTGTCTGATATCACCACGCTGCCTCACATATAAACAATGCAGATATTCTACAGGAGAAGCCAGCATAATCCCTTTCCTGCTGTGCCAACAAAATATATTTTCCACGACAGTCCAAGACAGTAAAGGCTGAGCGGGGAAAGGGTTAACTTACACCACAGAACCATTCAAAGCAAACGAAAAGGACAGAGAGTTGAAGCTCCGTTGTACTGATATCTAAAGAGTTGAAGCTCTGTTGTACTGATATCTAAAGAGTTGAAGCTCCGTTGTACTGATATCTAAAGAGTTGAAGCTCTGTTGTACTGATATCTAAAGAGTTGAAGCTCTGTTGTACTGATATCTAAAGAGTTGAAGCTCTGTTGTACTGATATCTAAAGAGTTGACGCTCTGTTGTACAGATATCTAAAGAGTTGACGCTCTGTTGTACAGATATCTAAAGAGTTGAAGCTCTGTTGTACAGATATCTAAAGAGTTGAAGCTCTGTTGTACAGATATCTAAAGAGTTGAACCTCTGTTGTACTGATATCTAAAGAGTTGAAGCTCTGTTGTACTGATATCTAAAGAGTTGAAGCTCTGTTGTACTGATATCTAAAGAGTTGAAGCTCCGTTGTACTGATATCTAAAGAGTTGAAGCTCTGTTGTACTGATATCTAAAGAGTTGAAGCTCTGTTGTACTGATATCTAAAGAGTTGAAGCTCTGTTGTACTGATATCTAAAGAGTTGACGCTCTGTTGTACAGATATCTAAAGAGTTGACGCTCTGTTGTACAGATATCTAAAGAGTTGAAGCTCTGTTGTACAGATATCTAAAGAGTTGAAGCTCTGTTGTACAGATATCTAAAGAGTTGAACCTCTGTTGTACTGATATCTAAAGAGTTGAAGCTCTGTTGTACTGATATCTAAAGAGTTGAAGCTCTGTTGTACTGATATCTAAAGAGTTGAAGCTCTGTTGTACAGATATCTAAAGAGTTGAAGCTCTGTTGTACAGATATCTAAAGAGTTGAACCTCTGTTGTACTGATATCTAAAGAGTTGAAGCTTTGTTGTACAGATATCTAAAGAGTTGAAGCTCTGTTGTACTGATATCTAAAGAGTTGAAGCTCTGTTGTACTGATATCTAAAGAGTTGAAGCTCTGTTGTACTGATATCTAAAGAGTTGAAGCTCCGCTGTACTGATATCTAAAGAGTTGAAGCTCTGTTGTACTGATATCTAAAGAGTTGAAGCTCTGTTGTACTGATATCTAAAGAGTTGAAGCTCCGCTGTACAGATATATCTAGAAGAGCTATCAGGTTACAGACCAGTTATCACAACATATAATATTATGACAAATAAAGTATCACAATATGACAAAGTAATTGTAAAAAAAACCAAACACACACACACCGAAAAGACAAAAGAACCAATGAAAATTATAGTCTGGTACTGATAACTCAAACATGAGAAAATAGAAAAAGAAATTGATAATTTTTGTGTATAAAGCAGGCCAAAGGGCTAGAACTCAATTGGCCACTGGATCGAAAATGAAAAGTAAAAAGTCAAAGTAAGAGTACATAAATCATCCTTGCATGCAGACCCCTCAGTAAATCGACAAAAATGAGAACAATGAAAACGAAGTTTGAAATTGCTGAGTATACAAAACATTTTTCAGGGGGAGAAGATTTTTTTTTTTAAAGAAAGAAAAAAAGAGAAAAAAAAGAGAAAGCAATAGATCTCGCAATGACTCCAAAAGCGGATAGAAAAAAAGGCATAGATATAATGATCGAGAAATAGGTGCTATCAAAAAGGAAAACATTTTAAATATTTGTAGAATGGAGTAGATCAGCTATTATTGTTTATAATCAATTTTTGTATGAGTGAAACAAAATTTTAATTATTTTGGTGCGAGTCTCTACTGAACAGGATGATGGCGACCAGTTCTAATGTGCTACTATTTCAATACATTTGTATGTGGAAATGTTACAATATTGACTAATGTACTTGTCTTTCAAAAGTGAATCTCAGCGCTTTTTTGGTAGATCCCCCCCCCCCCCCCCCTATTTTGGCCTATTTTATTAGAAATTTGCACAAAATTGAGCTCGATTTGGTATTTGAGTAGATCTAGGTAAAAATACCAGATAGAGGTAATAGATTTGTCAAAATGACATAAACACTATGCCTAGGGCCAGGGCGTCGTTAATTGCAACCATGAAGTGTGTCAGGGAAATTGACAGTCGCCATTTACTGTTACAAAGAAGCGTTTAATTCAAGTCATTTTCGTCCATGTATAGTACTTGGAAGACAACGAAAACAGTACTGAATAAAGTCCAGACTTTCATCAACGGATGTATGAGGAGTATTCTACGAATTAAGTGGCAGGATAGAATAAGAAATGAAGAACTGTGGGAAAGGACAGGACAAAAGGATATAGAAGTAGAAATAGGACTAAGAAAGTGGCGATGGATGGGACACACCTTAAGAAAGCCCAGCGGAAACATCACAAGACAGTCACTGCAGTGGAACCCACAGGGAGCACGAGGCAGGGGTAGGCCACGGGAAACATGGAGGAGATGCGTGGAAAGAGACATGAGAGAGATGAAGCTCACTTGGAACGAGCTTGGAAGGATGGCTCAGGACAGAGATAAATGGAAGGAGCTTGTATGTGGCCTATACCCTGCCAGGGGTGAAAGGCATTGATGATGATGATAGTACTAAAGGAGATTCATAAGTCAGTAATTCGAAATCTCTTCAAATATTCTATCAAGGCCGATATCAGGAAAGCTTTAACTCAATTATATTCCCAAAACAAAAAAATAGGCGAATAGGCCTTAATAATAATAATATTGGGTGGTGGGAACTACCAAAAAAGCGCCCAGATCTCCTCATGATGTATAATAGCCTCCTCTACTTCTCATCTACAGAAGACTAGAACAAACTAAGGAGAGAGCATTTCAGCTATCTACAGATACAGAGAACTAGTACTAGTATCACATCAAAGAAGTCAGGTGTAAAGCGGGAACAAAATAAAGTGGAGAGATTCTGAACAGAGCAGAGCACAACGACTGCCTTATGTGTATAACTCCAGCGTTTGACGACTTTGTTGATCAGAAGTGAAATAAGACAGTCTTACACTGAGCGGTCAATATAATATTTGAATATGTTGAAATGTTACGATATTGACTGATAGACTTGTCTTTGAAAAGCAAATCTCCTCATGATGTATTATAGCCTCCTCTACTTCTCATCAAGCTCTCATCTACTGTTTGTTTCCGTCAATGTTTTAGGGCGCTCGCCACGGCATAAGGTTATATGAGCCCCAGCTCTCATCTACAGATCACTATAACTATAACAAACATAGGGAGAGAGCAATTCAGCTATCTACACAGAGAACTAGTACTAGGTATCACATCAAAGAAGTCAGGCGTAAAGTGGAAACAAAATAAACTAGAGATCCTGAAGAGAGAACGACGACTGCTTTGTGTGTAAAACTCCGCCGTTCGGCGACTGACGAGAAGTGAAATATGACAGTCTAATATTGAGCGGTCACTGGTCGCTTTTAAGCACAACGGGACTATCCCGAAAAATGTCGTTTTGAGAAAATAGCAGGTAGAGTTTCGTCCCCTTGTGCAGTTTCTTTAAAAGACAAGGAGAGCTTCCTCTATAACCAAACAAATATACACACCAATGAAACTTCTCCTATAGGCAGAGCAATGCCCATTTTTGATGTAGGTCAAGATTTCTGGAAACCCCGAAATCTGGGTTGGCCCGCTTGTCCTCAAAAGCAACCATAACATCCCAAAACAAAACTGTGTCTTGCATTAGTGAAATAGAAATGAGCTTTCATGGGCTCTGAAGTTTACATTTGTTCAAAAATTTTAATTTACTGAGAAAATACCAGTCCTCAAACATATCGCGACCTCAGCGCTTTCTTGTCATATCTCTTTTTTTTGGGTTTAAACAGAGAAAATGTGATATCTTTTTAAGCTCACTCTTTATTATAAACTGTTTTCACTGTTATTAAAAATGGTACTACGACAAGAAAGCACTGGGGTCGCGATATGTCTTCATCATCAACATGGCTACTTTGCGCCTGACACAATCAGCAGAGACAGAAATGTTCTCCAAATTCGTCTCAGGGAAAAATGTGAACAGGAAAAGTACACACAACAGCTACAAGAATTTACTAGGCTAACATTACTTTAACTTTGCTACAGTTAGTTCTAGACAGACAGAGAGATGGATGCAGTTCTTAAATTTGGAAAAACTACGTTCTCAAAACTACTGAACACTAACAAATCATGTGCAAAAAATCCAGCAATGACCACTGGGACATTACCCTAAGACTAGGACATTACCCTAAGACTAGGACATTACACTAAGACTAGGACATTACACTAAGACTAGGACATTACACTAAGACTAGGACATTACCCTGAGACTATGACATGAGACAAAGCATCTATAAGCACATTACAGGCTGTGCAGCGGTACACAATGCAGTCTGAAGAACTAAAAAAACCCCAAAAAACAAAAAAAGAAAGAAAAAGATCGAGCTGCAATCTTCCAGCATTAACAGTAAGAACTGGTAGTTTTAAACGAAGACTACAGGGGGAAAACGACTGTAGTCCCAAACTGGAAATTGTGAGGGGTGTCAAGTTTAAAAGCTTGTGGACTCATAACTTCATATTTGTTCGACTGGTGGTGTATTGTTAAGTGTTGTTGAATGGGGAATCTAGCAACAATAATCAACCAACAGTTGAATTGAAAAGAAATTAGTTATGAGTCAACAAGCGTTCAAAATTGGTACCCTCACGGTTTTCAATTTGTGACTACAGTCGTTTTTCCCCTGTAGTCTTCAAATAGAATTTCAGTGTTGAAAAACAACCCAGAAGGAAAGTCAAACTATTTCACTGACATGTTTTCACTACAAAAATTACTAGAATACAACAACATTATGACTGTTTAGTGCAAGTCCTCGCCATATGCCATTTGGCAAAGTTACATATATGACGAGGCCTTAGACTGAGCAGTAGATAATATTATGTGTCATGACACGGTGGATTCAGGCGCTCGTCTATTTGGGGATATATGAATTTATTAGTATCATCTTAAACTTTGTTAATGTGTCTTGCATTTGGCAAAAAAATACTCATGTCTTGATTAGAAGTCATTTATCTTGCTTTGGTGGAGAAAAAATTCTCATATATATCATTAATAGAAGTTGAAACATTTGCAATTGAAGGAGGTGGGGGTCGCCTCGTGTCAGAGCCAAAATTAGCGAGAAAAGCGAGAAAATGGCCGCCATAGTTTGGTGACTTCCAAGCTTGAGAGTCTTTGGAAACTGCAAATTTACATTTTTATTCCTTTGATCAACGTTTCCCCAGTAAAATCCACACAGACACATGTTTTTTTAATGGACTTGGAAAGTTTTGAGCCCCCCAAAACATAAAATTTGAAAAAAAATTGCCCAACGGCCAAAAAAATACCAGTTTCCTTAATTCCATTATTTTGACGAGCACCTGATTTCACCACGCTGCCTCACATATATAAAGGACATTAGCACCATCAACACAATATATAGGTGTATACAGACTACAGAAAGAATGTGCACAAAAAGTTATACCAGTGGGATAAACACAATTGTTCCGGGAGGGGTTTTGTCTTGAGACTTTCTCTGAAAACGAGCAAAGAGCACACACATTTGTCAAAAGTAGGAACAGCAAAACATAGCGAAATAACCACAGCAGAACACCCAAAGGACCTGCCTAGCAGCAGCACAGCAGTGTGGAGTGGGTTTTACACTTTGCAGTCACTTGACGCTACCGTGAAATTGATCCTTTTCAGTCACCTGGTGCACAGGCCCCAGAAGTCTGTTGCAGTCACTCGCCTGGCTGGGTGACCAACCAGATGGGGTATTTTGTTCTGCTGGCTGTGTGACTGCAAAGTGTTAAAGGCCCTTTTTGTGCTGTAAGACCACATTAAGAAAGCAGGGACATCTACCTAGACTAACTTGGAGATACTCGTTCAATTTTTTGATACAACACAACCAAGTGGCTGGAGAACCTTGAAGAAACTCCTCCCAAGTTCCCGAATGCTTTCCGCTTGGGTTCAAGTTCAGGCTTCCAGAATTGTGGTCCAGCACAATTTACTGGGATCCTGACATGAACTCCCCACCAAATTCTCAAGGAGGTGTCAAGGAGAAGTTTTTTTTAAATTCAAGGAGATTTGGTCAAAAAATTCATGCAGAAAGCCTATTTCCGATAGCTCTACACTTGTCCGAAAGGAATCCTAGTTTCGATTTTACAAAAAAGATTTTGTTCATGTCCGATCCGGTGAAATTCAAGGAGTTTTCAAGGAGGTTCCTCAAATTCAAGGAGCTTTAAAAGAGTTTCCTCAAATTCAAGGAGTTTTTAAGGAGATTTTTCCTTGAAAGCAAATTCAAGGAGGCCGCAGGAACCCTGAAGTTAATCTGAGTGAACAGCAAGCCCCATTGGATACCCAGCAGTTGACTTAATATACAACTTACACCACCACAAAGTGGGGAGAGTGGCCCAGTGGTAAGGAAACAAAAACCCTGTGAAAAGGAAAAGTAAAATTGAAAGTTTTGTTTCCCAGTAGAGCCGGCTGGTTCTGACATTGAGTCCTCAGGAACACTAAACTTCACACCATTCTATTTCTTCACTGCTTCCAGGAAAGATCAATTAGGCTCCACATTTCGCAACCTCGGTGCTTTCTTGTCGTATCTCCATCTTTTTTAACAGCAAAAATGTGACTTCTTCTTAAGCGCACTCTTTGTTAAGAACTGTTTTCACTTTTATTAAAAATGGAGATACAACAAGAAAGCACTGAGGTCGCGATTTGCTGAGCGAGGAAAAAAACAACACTAAAAGACCTGTGGTAGACTAGTTTTCTGTTCTTGAAGTAATTTGGTAAAACTGGTGATGCTCCATTTAACAGGAGCTGAAATACTTCTCGTCTTCAAGCAGCTTGTAGGTCATAGTGGGATCAGTGCGCACTGCTTGTAAACAGAAGCCTCACTTGTTTACAAAGGCGTCTTAGGAGACGGACTTTCCCAAGTTTCGATCTAAACGAAACTAATGAAACACTGAAAATTAAACTACATTGACTTCAGAATCCTTGATATAACTGTGCACCCTTTCAATGATTCTGAACTACCATTAATTTCTTTTTAATTCAAAATTTTAAGTGGTTCAGAAGTTCAAAGTGACCAAAGTGACGGACTTTCATAAATACAATACATAGAGATAAATATATTATATATAGAAGACCAACCTGTTTAGACGGACTCTCTCCCAGATGTTGTTCCTCTGCGTCTGACTTTGCTGTTGGAGCTTTCCTCTTCTGAGCCGTGGACTCCGTGTCTTTGATTGGGCCAACGTTCTGAGTCGAGGCGTAGTGTGACTGCAACCACAAACAACACAGAGGGGGGGGGGGGGGGGGGTATTTTTTGTTTAGTTGAGGAAAGAAGAGCATTGACACAATAACAGAAATTTTAACACAGTGAGACTGCAAGCACAACAATAGAGGGATTTTTTAAGTTTCAGCTTTAGCAAGAGTTCTACGGCACTTGCAACACAATAAGGTCATATAAGTGACCAAGACTAGAGGTGTTACAAGAGGGTAACAAACATTTTTTAAAAAAAAAGGAGAAATCAGGACGATAGATGTTTGATAGGAAAGAAGGAGCAAACCACACCTGAGCACTCACCAACAACCCATATGTACAACATTGATAAATCAGCCCATTTACAATTCTACTGTACATAAGAACATGTTAATATCCCCCCTTTGGGAATGGCCTAAATACACTTCAGTTAGTAGCACTGCCTGGAGGAGTCACCTGTCCAAAAAACCAAAACCATTTCCCTTCTTGCATTCTTTGACTGGTTTCTCCCCCCTCCCCCTCCCTTACCAACTGACTGAGACGGGGGGGGGGGGGGGGAATCCATTTTTGACTATCATAAGGTACACACGCCAACAGAGAACAGCGTAACGAAGAGTTCACACCGAGTACAAGATTGCGCTAATTCAAACATCACCTGACTCACCCTGGTCTTCCTGTCCGGCATGAGACTCAGCCTGAGCGAGTCGTCGCTGAGCTTCTCCTTCCTCACCGTCTGCATCTCCACGGGGTAGGAGGACTGGAGGTGAGGGAGGTACATGGTGTTCCGCCGCTGCAGCTCGCTCAGACGGTTCCACTCAAAGTCTGGTCCCTCCGGCTCGTTGGCGCACGACATGGCGTTAGGGAGGACAGCGCCTGTAGGTCGACGGAGGTGCAAGAGGACAAGAAATAAACGCACAGCTTCTAAAGAGGACCAATCGTCTTATTTTAACTTAACACTTTGCCATCACAAGACTCATATAGTAAAAACCCTTGCCATCAAAGTCAAAGGCATTTTGGGGAAAATCCAAAGAAACAGGGTGGTAAACATCGTCGAATGGCGAGATGTGACGGCAAAGTGTTAAATGATAACTTTTAATAATGTAAAGCAGTATCTTTGATTAAAACAAAAAACAAAATTGAAAGAAATTAAAACCTAAAAAAAAGAAAAAAATTATATATAGTATGCATCTATTGTCCTTATCTCTCCTCCCTGTTTTTGGAGTTTATTGCTCTCTTGTAACATCTCTAACTCGTAATCTCAAGCACTTTTATATGTTTCCATAAGAGAAAGGACCCAGCTGATTGCAAATCCTACATATCTACATCAGTCTCAACTCTTTTCCCTGACAAGGTAAAATGGTCATTTTTCTCCTCAATTATTACAATCAGATAATTTATTCAAACTTTTAGTCCAGAGACTTTCAAATGCATTATTGCAAAATGCAAGGACATTGATATATTTTTTAATTAAAAAAATTAAAGAAAGAAATTTGAGAATAAAATAGATAATAATAATAATGTAGAGGTTTATGTGAGTCTGAAAAGATGAGTGGAAGAGAACAAGAATTTGTTGAGCCCTGAAATTTGGCTCATAATGGAGTTTCAACGGCTCAAAAAATTACATTACAATGTAGATCTATGAAATTGTCTTCTACCTCAATTTCTCAGAGAAAGTTAATGATTAGAGCCCTAAATCAATAAAATTCCAAAGCAAAAAAATCACATGAAAGGCATATGTGAGACATCGTGGTGAAATCAGGCGCTCGTCAAAATAATGAAATCAAAGAAACTGGCATTTTTCTGTCCGTTTGTCAACTTTTATCGAATTTCTGTTTTTTGACTCAACACGTTAAAGGTCCATTTAAAAACACATTTCTGTGCACAAAAAGGTAAATTTGCAGTTTCTAAGGACTCTCAAGCTTTGGAAGTTACCAAACTTTGGCGGCCATTTTATTGGTGATTTTACCTCTGAAACCAGGCGACCCCACCTCTTTCAATTGCAAATATCTCAACTTCTATTCCTGATATATGAGCATTTTTTTACCAAAGCAAGATAAATGAACAAGCTTTAATATGATACCAATAACTCCACATGTCCACAAATTAGCAATGCCCACCGAGCGCATTTTGTTCTGCCAATTTTTGGCCCCCGCAGCGGGGGTGTTTCGTGGGACACACTAACGCAAAGGTTGTTGTCTTCAACTCGCTCTCACGCCGCTTCTCGTGAATGGATATGAATGAAACTTGGCAGCCAATCAGAAGAGAGGTCAATCTCGTAGTATGCAGTTTGACAACATTGTACCCATCCTAGAAGCAGTCGAAAACGTTTGCGAAAGTGGTTGATGTGGTGCGCTTTGAAGATTTTTCGAAGCTGTGATTTGTCAAACTGACTGATACGTTGTACACCATTTTTCTTTATTCCCTTAAAATTTCAAGCTTCTGTGTTTAGCGGTTTTCGCGTAATCTTTAAAAATGTGGGAGTAACTAAGGGAAAAAGCGACATTGCCATTTGCGCGTGCTGGGTGAATGGCCGGCGGCCTGGAAATTTCCACTGAGTGACGTCATCAGCCATCGGTCGCCTCGGGCGCTACAAACGAGGCCCCGCTTATGTGAACCGGAAAGGGGGGGG